TTTTTAAAAAAAAGTAAAAAAAAAAAAAAAAAAGAAATCAAAAGACACATTGCGTTGGGCAAATCTCCTGGAAAAAACCTCTTTAAAGTGTTAAAAAGCAAAGGTGTCACTTTGAGGGCTAAGGTTTGCCTGACCCAAACCATGATGTTTTCAATCGCCTCATATGCATGTGAAAACTGGACAATGAATAAGAGTGAAGAAGAATTGATGCTTTGAATTACGGTGTTGGTGAAGAATATTGAATATGCCATGGACTGCCAAAAGAATGAATAAGTCTGTCTTCGACGACGTACAGCCAGAATGCTCATTAGAAGCAAAGATGGCAAGACTTCGTCTCACGTACTTGGACATGTTATCAGGAGGGACCAGTCCCTGGAGAAGGACATCATGCTTGGTAAAGTAGAGGTTCTTTGAAAAAAAGGACTCAGTGAGATGGACTGATACAGTGGCTCCAACAGTGGACTCATGGCAAGCTGCTAGATCAAGCCCAAAGAACCAGGAATGTGACGAACAGGAGCCAGCTGCAGGATCCAGAGCAAGCAAAAGCCCGGGAGGCTTGTTAGAAAGTCCACCTATATTGGATGCAGGCCACACCCCCAGGGAATCTCCCTTTCAAATGATCAGCTACTCACAGAAGATTCCATCATGGAGGTGACCACACCACATCAGCTCTCATCATGGAGGTGACTACACCACTATAGGACCGCCAAACCACATCACAACTGCCAAACCACTGAGAATCGTAGCCTAGCCAAGTTTACACACAACCCCAACGATCATAGTCCACTCCTTGTCAGCTTGGCACCTGTGCACATCCCCTTAAACCAGTCATAATTTCTGAATAAAAACAATTATAAAGTCATACTTGCATGCATACAACTGAAAATGCACTTGTGCTGTTTACATCTTGTATTTTATAAATGAAGAAAACATAAATATTTGATACACACATACAAAGAAGAAGTACTTATAACAATTACAGTCCTTGCTTCTGCAACTGGTCACTTGATTGTAACTGGTATTTAGAACTTTTTCTACCACCCATTCCATATTCCCTTTGCCCTCAGCTGGTCGTGGTTCTCTGCCTGGTGGGGTGACCCAACCTTCATTCCTGAAGGGTCTGGCCATTAGTAGTCATGTCGGAATTGGGTTGTTGTAGTTTTCCATTGACTTTAATCACAGGGCATGGTAGTACTAAGAGACACCCTAAGGGATCTCCTGCATTCCAGATATACTTGTCTTTGCCTTCATCAAGTAATATCAATCCGATTTCGTCTTCATAATCACGATCAATCACACCAGCCAATATTGTAACTCTCTTCTTTGTCTGTTGATCCAGAGGGATAAGGAGCCCAAAGTGGCCAGGTGATATTCTTAACTTCCAGTTCAATAGAATCAGTGATGTGTTTCCAGGTGGGAGAATTCCTTCTTTTGGAACTAAGGCCTCTAGACCTGCAGAGCATAAGGTTGTGGAGACAGAAAGCAAAAATTTTGAGAGTGGGTCACTAGGGGTAATAGAGAGTGGTGCCACTCTCATTTGCCCTCCTGGATTCTTGGACCCATGAATCCTGGCTATGGGAGAAACAACACCATATATTGGACACTGGTTGAGCATATACATCCTCCTGGAGAACATTTCCCCAACCTTGCAAGGTATTGCCAACTAGCTGGTGTCATAATTGTATCTTTAGAAGCCATTCCTTCATTCTATCAAGCCACTTGCTTCAGAATGATGGGGAACATGGTAAGATCAGTGAATTCCATGAGCATGGGACCACTGCTGCACTTCATTTGCTGTGAAGCGGGTCCGTTGATCTGAGGCAATTCTGTGTGAGATACCACGATGGTGGATAAGGCATTCTGTTAAGTCCACTGAAGCAGTTTTGGCAGAAGCATTGCGTGCAGGGAAGGCAAATACATATCCAGAGTAAATGTCTATTCTAGTAAGAACAAAACATTACCCTTTCCACGATGGAAGCAGTCCATGGTAATCAACCTGCCACCAGGTTGCTGGCTAATCACCTAGAGGTGTAGTGCCACATCTGGGATTCAGTGTTGGTCTCTGCTCCTGGCAGACTGGACACTCAGCAGTGGCTGTAGCTAAATCAGCCTGGGTGAGTGGAAGTCCATCTTGCTGAGCCCATGAATAACCTCCATCTCTGCCACCATGACCACTTTCTTCATGAGCCCGTTGAACAATGACAGTAGTGGCTATGGAAAGAGGATGATCAGTTTCCACAGAACACGTTATTCTATCCACTTGATTGTTAAAATCATCCTGTGCTGAGGTCACCCTTTGGTGAGTGTCTTAGTCATCTAGGGCTGCTCTAACAGAAATGCCACAGGTGGATGGCTTCTAACAAGAGAAGATTATTCTCTCACAATCCAGTAGGCTACAAGTCCAAATTCAGGGCATCAGCTCCAGGAGAAGGCTTTCTCTTTCTGTCAGCTCTGGAAGAAAGTCCTTG